GCAGTCGCTTTCTAAAACATCGGATATGTATCGGATTCAGTACCACATACGAAAGTGACCCAGATCGGATTTGAAAATATCGGATTTGTGCCGTTCACACTGTCACACCATGATCGGATAGATGGTCGCAAAGGGTCAAAAAAATCGGATTTGATGCGCTTTCGCCTGCAGTGTGAACATAGCCTTTGTTTAAGGGTAAATATAAAGTAGGACACGGGCTAATTTGCAGGTTTTTTTGTGGGGGAAAAATACTTGAATTACCTTGAAAATGTTCATTTTGATCACATGATGACTCAAGGTCATGTGTCACTGCTATGCTAATCCATTCAGTAGATGTTGAGATATTTCACTGATATTATAGAGAACAGCAGTTTATCTGTAAATGCTTCAGGACATTTTAATGAGAAACAAAAAATGTTGATCTCTTTGTTAACTGACTCAGAGTTACTGCAGTTACCTTAGGTAGAGCCACAATACTAGCTAAACAGCAATCATTGCTTCACAGTTCAGTGTCAGCACCACATAGTGAAGTCTATTTTCTGTCTGGATCTTCAGCCTAAAATATGAACTCTCATCACGTCATGATTTTAGATGCTTGTTTGAATAAACCTGATTGCCTTTTAAGTTTGTCATCGTGAATTCTCGAGTTATGGTTGTGCTTCGACCGAACCGTTTTATCCTTGAGTCCAACTAAACATTTTTTTAGATGTTCCCTCTGGACTTTCAAAAGATATCATGCGATAAAATGTATAATGCCTCCCTTAAATAGAGCTTTTCCAGTCAAGCAGCAGCAGTTTGTATGCTTAACAGTGTTGGGACTAATGCGTTATTAAGTAACGCGTTACAGTAACTACGTTATTATTGTGGTAACGAGCACGGTAACTAGTTATTATGCCAAAATCAGGAACGCGTTACTCGTTACTGGGATTTAGATAGGGTCGTTACTCGTTACTTCGTGTGGTAGCATCGCGGAGCTTCCACAGATTCAGTAACATTAGCAAGTGGTGGAGGAAAGGGGAGGCAAGAGGAAAAGAGACCCGAACTTCAGGTAAGAAGTTATGACCTGCAGTCTCTCTGGGTCAGATATGAACCAAGTTTAGGTGGAGTTTATTTTCGTTATGCTGGCCTTTTCCGTACTGCGTGCTAACTAGCATGACGGAGTTTCTATACAGCTGGGTGGGTGCTATGATACTGATGTTGCACTTTATTTTGTTCATAAGTTATTAGAGTTGCCAACCGTCCCGTCTGGTATTCAGAGAAAATATTACGCGTTTCTTATTGAGGTGAAAAGGAACAGTTTGTCCCGTAATTCAGCTACAATGAAAAAGACACAAAGCTGGAGTTATTCTGTGTCTTTGCTGCACAGCTGCCTCTTCTTCTTTCATTCTCCCCCCTCCCTCTCCCGTTTCTACTTCAATCATGAAACTGATCAATGATCAGCTGATCGGTCTCTCTTGTTTGTTTATCGCTCACTTTGCGCCGAAAGAGGAAACCAGCGGATGTCGCGCTAAACAACAGCAGCACGTTTAAGCTTGATCAGCTGTTGTTAGAATTTATTTAATATTAATTTCTAGTATCAGCTGATGTTTGCTGGAGCCACAGCTGCAAAGCTGCTGGTCATGATATGGTTTGGTTATCTGGTGAGAGGGAAACATGAAGATGAAACCAGGAGATGTCCTTACTGGATCATCAGAGCTGAACAGGTGATGGAGAAACAGGTTTACCTTTTAGGTGACATGAATGAGTTGAAGGGAAGTTATGAACTGTTTCTGAGAGACAAATAACACCAGGATCCTTTTTTAGTAGCTGACAGCTGGTAACTGTGCAGGGGCGGGTCTAGCAAAGTGTTGCCAGGGGGGCATGTAGGGCATTAACAGGGAAAGGGGGGCACAAAGAAATACTTTTCTTTCTTATTCTCATTTAAAATGTCTAGCTTTTAAAAAAATAATTATCTGAATCTTACAACAAACGATTGATAGATTGATGCATATATACCATCAGAACAGTGTACATCACTGTCACAACAGTGTTTATTTTCATTCAAAGGCTTTATGATTTTTCCTATAATGGTGGGCCGGTCTCTAGTCAAAATGCCCGGGACGATTTTTGTCCCAGTCCAGCCCTGTATGCAGCTCATCTGCAGTCTGGTGTTACCTACATCTTCCTATTCAGAAGGCAGAATTTCCGAGTTCTGAGTACAATCGAAAGCACCACGACTGCAGTTTTTGTGTTGGATGTAAAAGGCGCACATGACTCTGTGACGTAGGCTAGAATCATGGCAGCAGTCAATGACGGTCCAGGCGGGGATTTCTCTCGTGGAAATATGCACATTATCTTTTCCTTTCTATTGGTAGGTGGCACAGTGCACTTGTGGCAAGTAAGCAAGCTAGAAGACTGGCAAAGTTATGGAAGCAACACATTAACAAGAGAATTCTGAGTAAAACCAAAGTTACTTTCCCTAGTAACTAGTTACTTTGAAAGTAACAAGTAACTTGAAGTAACTGAGTTACTTTTGAGAGAAGTAACTAGTA